AAGCATCGTGCATGTGTTTTACTAGCAGTTTTTAAGGCTGAATGTGCTTGTCAGGATTGCTTGGGTTAAAATCCAAGATACTCCCGAGCTCAGGGAAAGTGGATCTGGAAAGATTGCAACTGCAGCTTGTGTCAGAGTTAACTTGTCTCAGCTAACTGAAGTGTTTTGCAGTGCTTCCAGTCACTTTAGGGACGTGTGTGCCTTCAGTTCAGGCACTCCAAGATACCGACGTTTGATACCTCAGCAATGAAACACTCTTACAAGAGCAAACACTCCTAAACCAAGAGCTCTTCTTTATGTCTCAAGATATTTTTTCAGGTATATCCTTAGCCAAAGACTGACTTCAAAGAATCCTTCTGTACCAATTCACAGAAAAAAAAGATCAAAGATACTTCAAGAGAACCAAGTTTTAAACTCGTTTGAGATTCTGGATTTAAAATTTCAAGAAAAAGTTGTTTCCACCAAAATGCTTCTGATTTAATAACGTCGGCTACATTTTCCTTTCAGTTTGTTGTAAGAAAGGGCCTTACACAGAACACTCTGTCTGCAGCATAAGGCAACAATTAGCAGTAACGTACTTCTCGCTATTAGCCAGGCGCCGGTACTCTCCCACAGTCATCGGTTTCTTCTGTATGTTGTACTGGGTGAACAACCCTGACTGCCCAGTAACCACCTGCTGGATAGGAGCTGGGATAACCATGTCATCTATATCGTCGTAGGTTTTCCGGGGTTTCCATTCCTTCGGAGGAATGACCTGGAAAGGAGGGAAAAATAAGCAAACAAAACTTCATGGGCACAAGAGGCAAACGCTTCTATTGAGAAAAACACATTTAAGTGGAAGGTATTTCAACCTGCTGCTGTTGGGTATCAAATAACTGCACCATCTCAAATAACCAGCATGTGGGACAAGCCACCTGTTCCGAAGATGCTGAAATACAGGACTCGTTAACATCCCGAGAGGGCTCACAGCTTTTCCAAAACCAGGAAAACCCACAATCCTGCTGTGCTATTGCTATTGCTCTTTCTGTTTTTGTAGGTGACACATCAGGGTTCCAAATAGTTTTTAAAGAAGAAGGGCCAGGGGGTGGAGAAGGACAAAAGAAAACTGTTTTGAATAGCTCTCTCCCCCCATTCTCAGTGCTATGCAAAAAAACACTATAAAGCAGTGCTGAATCTGGAAGAAAAAGCTTTAATTTTGAAGAGAACAGCTGACAATAATTCCAGGCTCAAGATCAGAGAACAACCAGAAGAGCATTCAGTGAGCGTGTAGGATGAAGAAAATGTATCTGCCATCTAACTTTGTTTATGGATTTACCCAAAAAAAAAAAAAAAAAGGCTATGGGAATGGAAGCACAAGTCACTGATTTTCGTGAGCATGGTTCCTCCAGGACAGGATGAGGCCTCCTTCACTAAAAGGTTTTGAACTGCAGTCACAGTAACCAGACACGAAGATTAACTTGAAACACTAAGATTTAGTCCTACAGGTAGGCATTTCTTTATGACATCTGGAATTCACCAGCAGCTTTTATTAAAATAATCCTCCCTATTGGTCCCGCAGAATATAATTGCTCGTACACTTGAGCAGACAAGGAAACATTTTACAGAGGTTTTTTTT